ATAAGGTAATGTGGAGAGTTAGATTATGTAGAGTGTCTTGGCAGGGCTTATGCTTCATCAACTACCACTCATCTGTCAGTTTGTCATACTGTGGTGGCTTGTGTATTGCTGTGAGGCTGGAGGCTATGCCACCAGTATTTCAAATACCAGCAGGGTCACCCATGGTGGACAGGTTACAGTAGAGCTTCCAGACTAAGACTCAGAAGAAGGAAGGGCCATCCACTTCTCAAAGAATTGGCCAGTGAAACTTTTATGAATAGTACTGAAACATCGTCTGATATGTTATTGGAAAATTTTGTGAATAGCCATGAAACATTGTCTGATATAGTACCGGAAGACAAGCCCCTCAGGTTGGAAGGCACTCAAAATTTAACTGGGGAAGAGCCGCTTCATCCAAGCAAGAGTCCACCTTAATGATATGGGTGGAGTAAAGCTTTCAGGACCTCCATTTGCTGATGTGGCACTACTCAAAATGGGAAGAAACAGCTGCAATCATCCATTAATACTTAGAACATGGAATGAATTAAGTATGAATCTAGGAAAATTGAAAGTTGTCAAAAATGAAATGGAATGCATAAAGATCGATCTCCTAGGCATTAGTGAGCTGAAATGGACTTGTTTGGGCTACTTTGAATCAGACAAATATATGATCTGCTATGCTAGGAATGATAAATGAAGAGGAATGGGCTGGCATTCATCATCACAAAGAATATTTCAAGATCTATCCTGAAGTATCCTATCAGTGATAGGATAATATCCATATGCCAGAAGGAAGGCCAGTTAATACTGCTATTATTCAAATTTAGGCACCAACCACCAAAGCCAAAGATGAAGAAATTGGAGGTGTTTACCAATCTCTGCACTCTGAAATTGACCAAACATGCAATCAAGATGTGTCAATTATTACTGGTGATTGGAAAGCAAGTTAGAAACAAAGAAGAATCACCAGTAGTTAGAAAATATGCCTTTGGTGATGGAAATGATAACAGAGATCACATGACAGAATTTTGCAAGACCAACGACGTATTCATTGTAAATACCTTTTTTCAACAATGTAAATGGTGTCTATACATGTGGACACTGAATGGAACACACAGAATCAGATTGACTACATGTGTGGAAAGAGACGATGTAGAAGCACAGTATCTTGAGCCAAAACAAGGTCAGGAGCTAACTGTGGGACAGGCCATCAATTTCAAGTTAAAGCTGAAGACAGTTAAAACAAGTTCATGATTGCCAGCACATGACCTTGATTACATCCCTTGAAACATCTGTTTTTGTTCTTGTTATGTGCGTTCCAGTCAGACCCAACTCATAATGACCGCTCCTTGGGTTTCCAAGGCAGTATCACTACGAAAGTAGATTGCCCAACCTTCCTTCTGAGGAGTGGTTCAAACCCACCAGCCTTCTCGTTAGCGGTCAAGTGCCTTAGGCACTATGCTACCAGAGCTCCTCATTTGAATTTAGAGACCATCAAAAGAATAGATTTGATTCAATGAAGACCATTGACCAAAAACCAGAGGAATTGTGGGATGACATCAAGAACATCATACATAAAGAATGCAAAAGGTCATTAAAAAGACAGAAAAGGAAGAAAAGACCAAAATGGATGTCAGAAGAGACTCTGAAACTTGCTCTTGAATGGAGAGTAGCTAAAGCAAATTGAAGAAATGACAAGATAAAAAAGCTGAACAGAAGATTTCAAACAGCAACTCAAGATGACAAAGTCAATTATTATAATGAAATGTGGAAAGATGTGGAGTTAGAAAACCAAAAGGGAAGAAATGCATTTCTCAAGCTGTAAGAAATGAAGAAAGAATTCAAGCCTCAAGTTGGAATATTGAAGGATTCAATGGGCAAAATACTGAATGATGCAGAAAACATCAAAAGAAAATGGAAGGAATAGAGAATGACTGTACCAAAAAGAATTGCTCAGTGTTCATCTATTTTAGGAGATGGCTTATGATCAGGAACCAATGGTACTGAAGGAGGAAAATCAAAGCTGCACTGAAGGAATTGGAGAAAAATAAGGCTCCAGGAATTGACAAGATACCCACTGAGATGTTTCAACAAATGTGTGCTGCACTGGAGGTACTTACTCATCTATTCTAGGAAATTTGGAAGACAGTTATCTGGCCAACTGACTGGAAGAGATCCACATTTGTACCATTCCAAAGAAAGGTGATCCAACAGAATGTAGAAATTATCAAACAATATCATTAATATCACATGCAAATGAAAGCTTGCTGAAGATAATTCAAAAATGGTTGCAGGAGTATATTGACAGGGAACTTCCAGAAATGCAAGCTGGATTCAGAAGAGGACATGAGATGAATGATATCATTGCTGATGTCAGATGGATCTTGGCTGAAAAGAAAGAATATCAGAAAGATGTTTACTTATTTCGTTGACTTTGCAAAAGCATTCAGCTGTGTGGATCATAACAAATTATGGATAACATTGATAAGAATGGGAATTCCAGAACACTTAAGTGTGCTCATGAGGAACCTGTACACAGACCAGGAGGCTGTCGTTTGAAGAGGACAAGAGTATACTGAATGGTTTGAAATCAGGAAGGGACTGTGTCAGAGTTTTATCCTTTCACCATATTTATTTGATAAGCAAATAATCTGAGAAGCTGGACTATATGAAGAAGAATGTGGCAATAATATTAGAGGAAAAATCATTAACCTGCAATATACAGAAGACACAACCTTGCCTTCTGAAAGTGAAGATGACTTGAAGCACTTACTGATGAAGATTAAAGACTACAGTGTGTAGTATGGATTACACCTCAATATAAAGAAAACAAAAATCATCATAACTGGACCAATAAGCAGCATTATGATAAATGGAGAAAAGATTGAAGTTGTCAAAGATTTCATATTACTTGGATCCACAATCAACACCAATGGAGGCAACAGTCAATAAATCAGACAATGTATTGCACTGGGCAAATTTGCTGCAAAAGACTTCTTTAAAATGCTGAAGAGCAAAGATGTTTCTTTGAAGACTAAGGTGCACCTAACACAAACCATGGTATTATCAGTCACTTCATATGCAAGTGAGAGCAGGACAATGAATAAGGAAGACCCAAGAAGAGTTGATGTTTTTGCGTTGTGGTATTGGCAAAGAATACTGAAAGTACTGTGGACTGCTAGAAGAACTAACAAATCTGTCCTGGAAGAAGTGCAACTGGAATGCTCTTTGGAAGTGAGAATGGCCAGACTTTGTCTCACCTACTTTGGTCATGTTGTCAGAAGGGATGGTCCCTAGAGAAGGGTATCTCCTTGCATATTGCTTCGTAAAGTGGAAGGTCAGCAAAAAAAGGGAAAGAGTCTCAGCAGGATAGATTGGCACTGTGGCTGCAACAGTGGGCTCAGGGATAGCAAGGATTTTGAGGCTGGCACAGGACTGGGCAGTATTATGTTCTGTTTTACACGAGGTTGCTTTGAGTTGGAGCCAACTGGCTGGCACGTAACAACTACAATACCTCATCAACACCCTCTTCCACTGTGCCTACCCTGGAGTTTCAAGTCAGCATTGCAGATGGAGAGGTGGGTTCAAGAGAGTGACCCACCTGTCCCCAAAGCCTCCATAGAATATCCCTCTAGAATCAGAACTTCCAGATTGGTTACCACTAGCTTCATTTAACCTCTAGGTCAGTGTAGTATTTAAAAACTCAGGATATTTTTTATAGAAATCTACATTATTGGCACCTTTGAAAAAATCATAATATCTGGCAGGAAAGCCATGAACTCATCATTGCTGCCATTAGGCCGGAGGTGAGCACTCAGTGTTGCCTTGGCCCACCACATGCTGTGGACCACTCCTCTCATCCCTGTCACCTGCATGGTCCAGGAGGCATTTGGGTTGGGAACTCAGATAGCCTCATGACTGTTAAATACTATGGATATGGAGTCCTTGCTCTGATACTGCCCTGGCTGAGGAAGGCAGTGAAAGGAGGTTGGCCCTTCATTGGTTCAGAGGTGTGGCTGGATTCTGGGAGGAGGAGGAGGCTAACTGGAGGCTGAATCTGAGCCCTGCCCCAAATCCCATACTGTCACTCTTACTGAAGCCCTAACCTTTGCATTTCGGAGCATGAAGCCTCAGAGTTCGAGTAACTTCTGTTCCCAGCTGGAATTTTGACTTACTCATGTTTGTTTGCTTCCCTATAGCGCCTGCACCTCAGTGAAGATGTGGCTGGGGCCACATTCATGGCAGCGGGCAGTTCAGCTCCAGAGCTGTTTACATCTGTCATAGGTAGGTAATGATGTGGGAGCATCCCAACCCTTCTCTCTAAAGGAAGGGACTTGGAGGACAGAGAGCCTTCCAGTGTGAACCCCACAACTCTGCCACTACCAGGGAATGAGAATCCAGAGGCCCCCCCAATGAGCAAAGCATCAACTTCCTGTTCCATTAATATCATCATTATTTTTGGTTAAATGACACTTAACTTTACATGAACGTGTCCCAGACCAGATGCCAATGCTCCTGTAGGACATTTTTCCTTCTATTCCTCCACTATCTCCTATAAATCCTGAGAACAGTCAGATACTTCTGAAAGCTCCCCACATCCACTCTGGTGCAAAAGCTGACATGGCATCTGTATTTCAGGGGTCTTCATCACAAAGGGTGATGTGGGCGTTGGGACCATCGTGGGCTCAGCTGTGTTCAATATCCTCTGCATCATTGGTGTCTGTGGACTCTTTGCAGGGCAGGTAAGGCCAATGGCTCATTTGTTACAGTGGGATGTGACAGCTGGGAAGGGAGAATGCTAAGGATTAGTAGAATCCCCGACGTCTTTGCAGAGAAGGCAAAATTATGTTTTGGAAAGAACATGGGGCCAGGAATCAGATTTCCCTGGGTGTGAATCCTCACTCTGCTACTTTCTGGCTGTATGGCCTTGGAGAACTTAATCAACCCCTCTACACCTCTCTAAGCTTCCTCATCTATTGAGTGGGTATAAGAGCACCTACCTCCTAGCATTTCCTGTGGGTGAAACAGCATGTTCAGCATTAGCAGCACCTGGCTCACATGGTAAATGCTCAATAAAAGTTAGACACCATTAGCAACTTTGGATGGATCTGCTGGAGCACAGCAGCAAGGCCCAGTGGTGCAGGGAGCTGGGAGCTGGGACCTCATACCCAGGAGTCTACTAAACTTGAACTGGAAACTTTCAGACTACCGTTATTTGGCCTCCATGTTGATAGGATATAGAGAACTGAGGTCTCATAAATAATTAACCAGTCCATAAGATGCAAGGTATATATTTGAAAGTGTCATGCTCAGAACCCTTTTGCCATGTGACTGACTTGAACTGAAATGACGTGAGACAATTTTAGGTCTGGTTTTGCCTCCCTGGAAATAGAGCACAAAGAGAGAAAGAGAGAGGCAGGAAAAGAGACAGATTATTTTTTCTTTTCTGAAAACATTTTGAAATGATCACAGTTCAAGAACAGCCTTTCTTTTTCTACAGTGATCTGGCATTTTATTTCCTTATTTGCTTTAGCTTGCTTCTTAGGGTTATGAAGGGCTTCAGATGCCTACATTTTACCTATGGAGACTGTTACACTGCTGATAGAGGTCATAGCCCTGTGTCCTTAATTAGCAATGCTGTCTGTTTTGGAAAGTCATGGGAAGATGCCCAGAAGTCACTGAGAAAAGTGGAGGCTGCCAGGTGGCTGCAGGTATGATACCTTGCAGCAGCACCTGTGGACTGGCAGTTGCCCTACTAGCTCTAATGTCCTAGTTTCTTCATAGACATCTTATTCAGAAGTAGTGTGGTCATGGGCTTTCTCTATCTAAACATCCAGTACTCAAATATCTTCTAGAAAAAGTGACTTCTAGAAGCCCAATGAGGCCATGTACATTCTAGGAGATTTTAAAAATCAGTATTATGGGCTCACACAATTGAAGACAAAACATAATTGACCAAAAGAATGAGGGAAAAATAAAATGTTTCATCTGTCAAGTTGGGCAGAACCCAGTTACCACTTGTAAATGGCTGTCCAGGAGTCATTTGCCCCATCCTTCATGAGTTCCAGAGCCAGATTCCCCGTAAGATCAAGAAGTCACACAGAAGCAACTAACCCAACACACAATCTGTATTTAAAACCAAACTGTATTTAAAAACAAAACCAGTTGCCATCAATTCATTTCCAACTCATGGTGACCCCATGTGTGTCAGAGAATGGTGCTCCACAGAGTTTCCAGTGGCTGAGTTTTCAAAACTAGATAACCATATCTTTCTTCCAAGGTGCCTCTGGGAGAAATCAAACCTCCAATTTTTGGTTAGCAACCAAGCACATTAACCACTTGCAATATGCAGGCACTCCACACTTATATTTAGAAATCTGGTAGTCCTAAGTAACTCCCTCAATATGTAGGATACAGTATCATAGTAGAGGCTGCTGGTTTATTCTTTAAATAAAGAGATAAGGAGATCCTTAATGTCCTGGTGAGCCCTTCTGGCAATGCTCATTCCCATAACTTTCTGTCATATAGTCATCTGGCCAGGGGTGTTTTTTCTAATGTGGTTTCTCTAATACACACTCTAGCAGTATTACTGTTTTCCATGCTTACATTCCAGATTGATTTCTCCAGATTGTGTGTTGGGTTAGTTGCTTCTGTGTGACTTCTTGATCTTACGGGGAATCTGGCTCTGGAGCTCATGAAGGATGGGGCTAATGACTCCTGGACAGCCATTTACAAGTGGTAACTGGGTTCTGCCCAACTTGACAGATGGAATATTTTATTTTTCCCTCATTCTTTTGGTCAATTATGTTTTGTCTTCAATTGTGTGAGCCCATAATACTGATTTTTAAAATCTCCTAGAAATACAGTTAGTACAAAAAAATGCATCTCTGTATTTGCCTTTGGTGCCATTTGCACTTGGCTGGCACTCATCTGTGTTGGACACCTTCTCCTTATCTTACAGGGATGGATTGCCAAATGTAGCAGAAGAGTCTCTTGCTGGTAGCACTCTGTTAATTAACATTGTCACCATTAGCATTATTAGCCTGGCTGTTATTAGTGTTGTCATTAGTTCATTATTCATTTGTACCTGATGCTTGCTTCCAAAGCAAGCCCAAAGGGGGATAAATAATGTAGAGAAATTAAACAAATAATGGGAAAGTGTCTAGTAAATGCCAAGCAACTAATTACTTGTGAAATGTTTTGGATGCATTTGTGTTTCATAATTAGCAATACTGTTAATCATCAGTTTGGTTAGAATATCTGCATAAAAGGCAAATTATGTTCTAAACTTCAACTGGGATTGCTGTTGGTCACTTTAACTCCTTTGGAATGTTTCTACTTGGCTCATCTCCCAACCCCATGCAATCATGGATAGAATAAGCAGTTATGACTGAGCCCAAGGCCCACTTGATGACTCTGGAGACCAACCCTTTCTTCTGGCATTCCTTCTCTCTCCAAGGGCATCCACCTCTCTTTTTCAGGGCTTTGTAGAATTCCTGATGTCTTTGCAGAGAAGGCAAAATGATGTTTTGGAAAGAACATGGGGCCAGGAATCAGATTTCCCTAGGTGTGAATCCTCACTCTGCTACATTCTGGCTGTATGGCCTTGGAGAACTTAATCACCTCTCTACACCTCTCTAAGCTCCCTCATCTATTGAGTAGGTATAAGAGCACCTACCTCCTAGCCCTTCCCTGTAGGTGAAACAGCATGTTCAGCATTAGCAGCACCTGGGCCACATGGTAAATGCTCAATAAAATCTAGACACCATTAGCAACTTTCAGAAGAATACAGATCTCTAAGGTCCTCACTTCTAAAACTCTACCCTAGATCACTGTGATAATTTGACCAAATGCTTGGTGGGATTTATCTAACACTCAAGGGATGCCCAGTGGGAAGGAAAAGAAAGTCGAAGAAAAGGTCTTTTAAGTGAAAATCAAAATAAAGAGATGTTGATAGAAGGACTCTCTCAGAGGATGTGTAATTTTGTGCTGTCTGATCAGTGGAAAGAAAAGAAAATTTAGTAAGGAATGGAAGCTGCCCAATGTGACATATTGAGAAGAGCCCTCCCAGGTGGCCAGAGCTGGTGCAGTGAAAACATTACAGCAGAGGATGAATATTGGGAATCCATTCCTGGGTCTCACTTAGTGTTGTTATTTATGTTGCTCCACACTCTCATTGTGCTGATAGAATTAGCAGCAAGTGCCATGGGCATCTCCCTGATGCATACCAGCATCAAGAGCTGCACATGACCGAGTCTGCTACCCATCTGAAATTACAGTAATTAAGCTGTGAGGTTTGAGTTCCTGTCTCAATTAGAGTTTTGATGAATTCACTGTAATTAAATGTCTGCTGTATTTGCAGTTTGCAGACATACCCAGTGCACTGGTGCTTGCCTGAGGTGCTTTGGGGAGTTTTATGGGACAAAAAGGAAATTGCTTCTTAGAAAGTGGCTTATAGAGAAGTTCTTGGCATCCTTGATAGACATTCATAGGGCTATGCTCCTATACTTTTTCTTTATGTAAAAATAAAAAATAATAACAAAGAGAAAATCATGAAACTTGAAACGTATGAATGTATTTCTATGGCATAAATTTACATATTGTATTCAAAGAACTAGTGCCAAATGTGTAGAACAATGTGCTTGTGTATTTACATCTGCCATTTGGAGTATGTTATGCTTTAAATACATACCCACAAGCAGAGAATAAACAATTTAACTATATTCCATATTAGGACTTTCATATTCCAGCTGTTGCTGGTTGGCCAATGGCTGTAGTTTATAATGAAGAACTCCAACATCAACTCTCCTGGCATCCTAGAAATGCACCTGATGTTCCTTTGTTGAGCTGCCTCTAGTCCTGGCTAGATTCACCTTTCTTCAAACAACATTCTGCCTATGCTGGTTCTTTTACACAAACCCCAGCAGCACCCAAGCCACTCATTGGCATTGAAGCCTGACTTAGTTTGGGTTTTACTAGAAGGAGACCCTAAGCAAGGATTTGAGTACAAGTAGTTCATTTGAAAGGTGGTCCCAGAAAATGTCAGTAAGGGAGTGAGCAAATGATGCAAGGAAAAGAAGGCAGTCAATGAAGAGTACGTTAGCAAGTGAGTGACCATTGTAGGAAACTAGGGCTTAATTTTCCTTGGGAACTCTGGGAGACACTGTAGAACACAGGGCTCTAAGTTATACTGCCTGAGGAAAGAGGGAGCTGGGGTATTTATCCACCAACTTCTATCACTTATTGTTCAATGCCTTCTGAAAGGTATTGATTCCTTAGCATTCCTCCTCGGAAGGAAGGTTGGGCAATCCTACTTCCGTAGTGATACTGCCTCGAAAACCCAAGGAGGGGTCACTATGAGTCGGGGCCGACTCGACGGCAAACAACAACAACAACAACTTGGTGAGTGCAAGTGGAGGGACTTTGGGGTCCAGCAAAAACCCTCAGGCCAAGAGATATTAGGACTGGCAGGTAGAAGTCAGAAGTGGAGATAGAAAATATTAAGGTAGGAAGAATGCGTGGAACCCAGAAAGCATTTACTACAAACTCAAAACTATAGATTTGAACATAAACCACCTGCTGGACCTCATCTCTAACTGCCCTGGAAGAAACAAGCATCAGTACTTGGCTGAATAATAGTCCTGGGCCAGGGCATCTTGTTCTTAATGAATATGTTTATGTTAAAAATAATAGCCACCATTTATTAAGCATCTTCTATATAGATATCACTGGAAGGAAGGTT